AAGGGCCCTCCAGACAGAAAATTTGAGCAAAGATCTGAAGGAGGTGAGGGAAAGGAGCCACATGGATATCAGCTCTGGTAAAAAGAACAGAAAGGTGGGTATATGTCTGGGGTTTCTGAGGAATAGCACAGAGCCCAGTGTGTCTAGAATGGTGTGTGTAAGAGAGATGATGTCAGAGAAAAAGCAGTGGGGTCAGACCACAGAGCCTGTTAGGCAAGACACTAATTAATTGTTTAATAAAGTTTGATCATGCTGAATAAATACTACTAATAGGGCCTATAGCCTAAATTTTGTCTTAGAAAAATACAATGATTTAGTAAAGTATTTACCTGTGTGGTGACATTTCTTTCTTTTTGCTTTTTGTTATGTTTTCCTGCTTCAATATCTGCAATATATGAAAATACTTTTATAAAATATGAAAACATATTCTTTTAAAAATTTTACCAAATACAGTTTCGTGTTAAAAAACTTTTTAGATAACTTTTAGAATTCTAAGAATAATAGTTGAAAATAATTTATAAATTAAAGTTACTAATAATATGTTACAAAATAATTCCTTCACTGATCATTTTTTAAACATTTTTTATTGATTTATAATAATTTTACAATGTTGTCTCAAATTCCAGTGTAGAGCACAATTTTTCAGTTTTACATGAACGTATATATATTCATTGTCACATTTTTTTCCTCTTTGAGCTACCATAAGATCTTGTATATATTTCCCTGTGCTATACAGTATAATCTTGTTTATCTATTCTACATTTTGAAATCCCAGTCTATCCCTTCCTACTCCCCGCCCCCTTGGCAAGCACAAGTTTGTATTCTATGTCTATGAGTCTTTTTCTGTTTTGTATTTATGCTTTGTTTGTTTGTTTGTTTTAGATTCCACACATGAGCAATCTCATATGGTATTTTTCTTTCTCTTTCTGGCTTACTTCACTTAGAATGACATTCTCCAGGAACATCCATGTTGCTGCAAATGGCGTTATGTTGTTGGTTTTGTTGGCTGAATAGTATTCCATTGTATAAATATACCACCTCTTCTTTATCCAGTCATCTGTCGATGGACATTTAGGCTGTTTCCATGTCTTGGCTATTGTAAATAGTGCTGCTGTGAACATTGAGGTGCAGGTGTCATTTTGAAGTAGGGTTCCTTCTGGATATATGCCCAGGAGCGGAACTCCTGGGTCATATGGTAAGTCTATTCCTAGTCTTTTGAGGAATCTCCATACTGTTTTCCATAGTGGCTGTACCAAACTGCATTCCCACCAGCAGTGCAGGAGGGTTCCCTTTTCTCCACAGCCTCTCCAGCATCTGTCATTTGTGGATTTTTGAATGATGGCCATTCTGACCTGTGTGAGGTGATACCTCACTGTAGTTTTGATTTGCATTTCTCTGATAATTAGTGATATTGAGCATTTTTTCATGTGCTTTTTGATCATTTGTATTTCTTCCTTGGAGAATTTCTTGTTTAGGTCTTCTGCCCATTTTTGTATTGAGTTATTTGTTTTTTTCTCATTAAGTCATATGAGCTGTTTATATATTCTGGAGATCAAGCCTTTGTTGGTTTCATTTGCAAAAATTTTCTTCCATTCCGTAGGTTGTCTTTTTGTTTTATTTATGGTTTCCTTTGCTGTGCAGAAGCTTGTAAGTCCCATTAGTTTATTCTTGCTTTTATTTCTATTGTTTGGGTAGACTGTTCTAGGAGAACACTTTTGAGATGTATGTCAGATAATGTTTTGCCTATATTTTCTTCAAGGAGGTTTATTGTATCTTGTCTTATGTTTAAGTCTTTGATCCATTTTGAGTTTATTTTTGTGTGTGGTGTAAGGGAGTGTTCTGGCTTCATTGTTTTACATGCTTTTATCCAGTTTTCCCAACACCATTTGCTGAAGAGACTGTCTTTACTCCATTGTATATTCTTGCCTCTTTTGTCAAAGATGAGTTGACCAAAAATTTGTGGGTTCATTTCTGGGCTCTCTATTCTGTTCGATTGGTCCATATGTCTGTTTTTGTACCAATAGCATGCTGTCTTGATGACTGTAGCTCTATAGTATTGTCTGAAGTCTGGGAGAGTTATTCCTCCAGCCTCTGTCTTTCTCTTCAGTGATGCTTTGGCAATTCTGTCTTTTGTGGTTCCACATAAATTTTATTATGATTTGTTCTAGTTCTGTGAAATATGTCCTGAGTAATTTGATAGAGATTGCATTAAATGTGTAGATTGCCTTGGGCAGTGTGACCATTTTAATGATACTGATTCTTCCAATCCAGGAGCGTGGGATATCTTTCCATTTTTTAAAGTCTTCTTTAATTCCCTTCATCAATGGTTTATAGTTTTCTGTATATAAGTCTTTCACCTCCTTGGTTAGATTTATTCTGAGCTATTTTATTACTTTGGGTGTTATTTTAAAGGTGATTGTTCCTTTACTTTCTTTTTCTGTTGATTCATCATTAGTGTAAAGAAATGCAACTGAGTTTCGAACGTTAATCTTGTAACCTGCTACCTTGCTGAATTCTTCAATTATTTCTAGTAGTTTTTGTGTGGACCTTTTAGGATTTTCTATATATAGTAACATGTTGTCGGCATATAGTGACACTTTTGCCTCTTTTTTCCCAATTTGGATCCCTTTTATTTCTCTTTCTTGCCTGATTGCTGTGGCTAGGACTTTCAAGACTATATTGAATAGGAGCGGTGATAGTGGGCATCCTTGTCTTGTCCCAGATTTTTGTGGAAAGCTTTTGAGGTTTTCACTGTTGAGTACTATGCTGGCTGTAGGTTTGTCATATATAGCTTTTATGATGTTGAGATATGTTCCCTCTGTACCCACTTTGGTGAGAGTTTTTATCATAAATGGGTGTTGAATTTTATCAAATGCTTTTTCTGCATCTATCGAGATGATCATGTAGTTTTTGTCGTTTCTCTTGATGATGTGATGTATTACATTGATTGATTTGCGTATGTTGAACCACCCTTATGTCCCTGGGATGAACCCCTTGGTCATGATGTA